TTTCTTATTTGTATTACTTTAAATGTGAATTTAAATAGCCACATGTGGCTGTGTTAGACAGTGCAGGTCTAGAACCTCACTTTCCTCAACTGTAAAATGGGGCCAGTAATAGAATCCAGCTTTCTGAAGTCATCACGAGAATAAAATGAGACAATGCACATAAACCTCTTGGTCTGATTTTTGGTGCATGGTTAAATAAATTTGAGCAATTCTTACCATCTTTGGCATCCTAGATCCACTGGAGAAGTGGATAAAACCAAACATTTTACATTAGAATTTACCCATCACAGACACATAAACACACAAGCACAAATGTCCAAAATTCCGTGCACATGCACAGATTCTGTGCACACACACACACATTTGCATCCAATTTCAAAAGAGTCCTGCAGCTCCGAAGACAGTTTAAGTGCCCCTTTAGAACCTGAAAGTTCCCCCCAGCCTAAATATCTCCAAGGCCATGAGCACATGCTGCCGACGACATCTGTCTCCGACCCTGCCTGTCAGGCTCAGGCAGCTCAGGAAACCCTTCCCGACACTCAGGGCCAAGCACAAAGGCAGGCTTGGAAAAATCCTCTCGCAAGGAGGGCAGGTCCAGGGCAGGGGCGACAGGACAGATTCCGTGAGCTCATCCCGCCAGCCGTCACCAGAGTTCCCAGAGAGGCCTGTGGCGTCAGGAGGGGGTGACTGGGTGGGGGCTGGCAGTGGTGGCTGCGGCGGCAACGAGGGTGTGGGGCTAGGAGAGGGAGGCTGGATGGAACACGCTATAATAGCGGCTTTGTGCTCCGCTTCCCAGCTCCCTGGGAACGCCAGGAAGATTATGAAACCCGGTGTCTTTGGGAATGCCAGGATATTAGCTGGAAAAAGAATAATACGAAAATAAAATAATGCTAGGGATGGAGACAGCAGACGATTAGCAGACGGAGCCAGGGCCTCCCGCTCCGTGGAGGGAGCCAGGCTTGGCCCTTGCAGAAGGCTTCAGGGAAAGGCTGCCCGTGCTAATGAGCAGACAGGGCCTGCCTTCCAACGAGACGTCTTCCAGAGGGGAGCTGGCAAGCCAGGCCCAGCCTGCCAGTGGACACACAGGCCAGGGAAGAGTGTCAAGAGGCAAGGGAGCACCACAGGCCTGGTCCTCAGACCCAGCCATTCAAAACCATCAGGTTACCAGAAAGGCTACCTGGTCCTCATTCCCAGTCCTTCCCTGGCTCCTTCAATGTAACTTCTTCCAGGAAGCATCCCCTTATTAGGCATTGTCACTCTGGAATGACTTATCCTCCCTCTAGCACTTCAAAGATGCAGACTCTATTGTGTTTATTTGCACTCACATGTGAATAGCTCTCATCCTAATCACACAGGAGCTCCCCACATGCCAGGCCTCCATCATTAGATGAGAGGACACTAGGAGATCACTTTTCTCCCACTAAGGAGCAGGGCAAACAGGTTGTCTTAACTCTGTCCATGACCCTGGCCACACAACTTCAGCTAGTATGGACATACCCTATCTCTCTCCGAAAAGCATCCCAGGGGGCTAATGTGACCTCATCCTTCATCTTCATACTTGAAGATGGTCCTTGGACCAGCAGCACTGCATGACCTAGAGCCTTGTTAGTGCAGATTCTCTGGCCGCACCCGAACACTGACTCAGAGTCTGCATTTTAACAAGGTCCCCCAGCGGCTCCTTTATTCATGAAGTCTGAGAAGCACTTCTTCACCTGAGTCACAATTAATCCTTATGATTCTAGGAGGCAGGTATTTTCATAAGTGAGGTAACAAAGTCCCTGAAGGCATGAATGATCTGGCTACAGCTGGGAAGCAGAATTCAAAGTGCACCTGCACACTCAGAAGCCTCTGCATCCCAGCACACTTGCCCCAGGTACGTCAACTGCATTAGGGGCCAATGGGCAAGGAGTGGCACTTAGGACAGCAGCTGCATCCTGGCACCAAAAAACCCGACCATCTGCCCCAAGATGCAGGTTGGTCTTTAGCCCCAGGCTCTTGTTGGGACATCAATATATCCTAGAACAAGGACAATGAGGCTCACGGATGGGGCCCCAGGCTGTCTTTAGTTCTGGCAGGAAGCACATAAAGATGACCAGCAAAGGGAGTGGGGGGTGGGTGCTGGGGCTGATAGGGGCTCTGTTCACTCAGGTACTGAATGGTCCAGACAGTTATTGTGGAACAGGTCTGTGGCTCTGTCCAAATGAAGAACACACCTAAGGACTTTCCAAACCTCTGTGGGCTTCCCACTCCAGGTATGTGGGATCCACCCTCTCAAACCACTGTCTCCCTCTGGTTCTCTGTGTCAGCCAAGTTCTCTCTGCACTCACAGGGCTGCACTGCTCTGGCTTCTGCATATCACAGGCAAGTCCCATTTGAACTGCAATCCATCACCTTCCCACGTCTGTTGACTTGACACTTGATTTTCGTGATCCTTCATGACATTTTCTCTCACATAAAGAATAAATGAGTTGGTTTCTCTGTTTCTGGGAAATGCCTCCCCCATTCTCCCAGTCACTGAGCCATGAATGCTTGGCAGTGGGTCCCCCAGCCTCGCTCACCCTCCTCTAGGTCTCAGCCAGCCCCATCCGTGCTTCTGTCTACGTGTCTCTGGGCACCTTCAGCCTTGTGCCCCCTCTTCTGCTGGCCCCTCACCTCCCGGCTGATGCTCACCCCCACACCTCCGCCTGCCTGCTCTGAGCCACCTGGCAGGCAGCCGCCAGCTCTGTCTTCCTCACACAGCACCATACCGTGTGCGTCAGACTTGTCAGGGCCAACCGTGAACTCATCCCAGCCCTGGGCTGGGCCCTCCATCCACTGAGCTGAATCTTAGAGGCCCTTTGACCCTTTTCTCCCCACATCCTACAACTCCATCTCTCTCTACCTTGGTCCCAGCCACTGCTCCTATCTGGATCTCTACCCAAACTCCTGATGTTCTTCTGACAGCAGGCTCTCCTTCTCAACCATCTTCCATAGTTACTTGATTATTGGTCCCCAAGCCTAGCTCTGACCAGAGCCCTTCTCTGCTCAACAATCCAAACTGGCTCCCTACTGCTCAACAAATAAGAGTCCTGTGGCTGCCATCTGGAGTTTGCCCGATACTGGTTCAGGTTTTGGGGGGGTGGTTGTTGTTGTTGTTGCTGTTGTTGTTGTTTTCCTTTTCAGGAGCTCCTCTCTCAACCTGGTGGTTCTGCCAATCACAGAGTAGGGGCATGGCTCAGGATAGCCAATCAGAACTTTTCATGCCTACTCCTCACCCCTACCCCAAGCACAAGGCCTGGCTCAGGTAGGAGACCCGGTGGGCCAGTCTTTCCCAAAAGGCTTTCACTGACACTATGGGGAAAGCAGCACTCTGAGGGCTCCAGCAGGGAGGTAGGCTGTGCTAGTTCATCCAGGAGGGCTTTGCCAACGACCAGGATGATGCCAGCCTTTCATCACCAGTGCCATCTTTGTTACCATGGAGGAAGCCAGTGTGAGACAGGCAAAGACAGAGGAGAGGGTCCTAGGGACACCACATGAATCTTGATTTCCTAACACCTGGCTCCCCTCCTGAGCCCAGAAGCCCCCTTTTCTCTCTAGCCCATTTGAGCCGAGTCTCTGATGGAAACAAGTCCTGGTTATATAGGTTCCTGCCAGGCCATTTCACAGCTGGCTGAACTGAGACGGAGCCTTCCTCAAGGTCTTCCTCCCCTACCTTCAGTGGGGCAGCACGACCACTCCTCCCATCCCAGCCCCTGCCCAGTGCCAAGCTAGGCTCTTTCCGACTCAAGATAAAGGCAGTCCACAAACACCAGCCCTGCCCCATCCTACCCTGCTCTTGCCCTGGCTGAGGACCAGTTCAGCAACCCAAGAGCCCATAGCTCTGCTGTCTCCCCCTCAACTCCCCAGTCTTGGCCCCAGGACTAGAGAGAGGCTCCCCTAGAGCTGACCACAGGTTTCTCTGATGTCATCTAGCTTCCAGCGGACCTCCTGTCCTACATGGCTACCACTGGGCCTGCCACCATCAAGGCCTGAGACAGACAGACTTCTCTCCCCTGCCTGCTCTTTCTTGGGGCCACTGCAGGCTTCAACCCCTATCCCTGCTTCCACTCATCACATCCTGGGATGCCCCACTGTATTCCCACAACCCACAAGGCTGGGCTATCCCATAGATATGTCTGGACCAGATGCATGTACGTGTATACACAGCTGGCTGCATATGAATGATCTTATTTCCTCTCAGCCAGTATAGCTGGGGAAACTGCTTGCCAGGGTCAATGCCCAACAGTAGGTACACAGTCCTGGCTGGATTTCACAGGGGCATCTCCTTCAGTCTTCTCACTCTTGCCCCCAGGAATTCCCCAGTCCAGCAGAGCCAGGAACAGGCTTATGCCACACTTGAGGGTCCCCACTGACCAGGAAGGGATACTGCTCCTTTGTTTGGGGGAAGCCATCACCTAGGTCCTAGATCCTAAAGAGCCTCAAGCTGACCCTAGTACTGGCTAAAAAAGTGCACATGGAGCAAGACTTAGTTTCTAGGGCAGTTTCTTCCTCCAGCTCCAGGGGAAGCCTATGAGATGGCCTTTATCTCAGAAGGATGCATGTCCAACCAAGGATATTTCAGGACCACCAGACCTCTTGGCCACTGCCATGGCTTGGGCTGAAGCATTCCCACCCACCTTCATGCGAGCCACTTCTGCAAGAAGTACCAGATCCTTTGGCTCCATCCTCAGTCAAAGGACTACACGCCAAGGTCTCCTCCCCCTCTGCTCCCATCTTGACTGCTCAGAGAAGCAGTAGGTTTCCCAGCACCCAAAAAGGAAGCTGTTATATTTTAGGAGGACACCCAGACTGGTGCTCACTTTCCCCACCTACCACCCCATAGAAGCTGAAGCCAGGATAACTGGCCGATGTCCCAAAAGTCCTAACCCGGGGGCTCTGTGCCTCTCCCACGTCAGCCCAGAACAGCCCTAGGAAAGCAAGCCGCATCCCACCCAACCCCAGACAGGCACAGTCCAACGTACCAGGGCCCCCTCGAGGGCAAACACAGCTGCAGGCCCAGTTTTCTCCAGCGGCTCCATGCGGCGGCGCCAGCGGCGGCGGCGGAAGGCATCTGTCTTGCGGTACTCAAGGTGGAACTTCCAGCCAAAGAGCGAGGCATACTCCCAGCCCTCACCCTCTGCCTCTGCCTGCCTGTGCTGTACAGGAGAATGGGGCAGATTCAGTGGCCAGCTGGCAGCCCCTGGGGTAACCTGGGACCAGCTCCAGTGGTGCTTTCCTGCCCTCCAGGGCTCCCCACGGCTCCCACACCAGCACTTCTTTCAGAGATGGGAAAACCTGGGAAGGCCGCCTGGAAGAGGGGGTCTTTGAACAGCTTCTGCAGCAACAGGAGACCTAGGTTAGAAAATCAGGAGGGGAGAGGAGGCTCCGTGGGCTGTGGAGAGACAGGCAGGGAAGATAGACTCTAGCAGTGATGGAAACACTGGGCTTTGGGTTGCTCATTTATTTGAATTAGGGGTGGATTGCATGACTCCAATGTGTTCTAGTCATTTCCTTCTTCTTCTTCACATCCCAGCTCATAAAAATGGAAATGGGTCTGGAGTTCAGAGGCAAAATAAAGATTGTTCTTGCCAAGCCCAGACTATTTCTCCTAAGGAGGTGGGATCTAGGTCAGCTGTGGAGGGATCCCCCACACCTCCTTCAAGGGGACTCTGTCCAGGGCCTGGAGAGGGCCTGGAGAGAACCTGGAAGCCCCTTTCCCCAGCTCCTGGGAGACAGTGTCCTGGGGCAGTCCTCCATCACCTCTTCAGTCTGAGCCACATGCAGTGAGGAGATCTAGTTCTAGAGGCCAGTAGTGTCCCCTCCAGTCTCCACCTCTGACAATGGGGTGCCCCTTCAGAAGAACTGTCTGTCTGGTTCACAGCCCCAAGAACAGCTGGTTGTTCACAACTCCTGCCCCTCCCCGGATCCAGACATACTCCTCTCTAGATTATCTGCTGAAAGAGAGGGCAAGGAATCTGGGCCATGCCAAAGGCTACACTTAAACCCACAGAGGCCTGGTTCTTAGGCCACAATGTGCATATGCACTTGAGAAGGAAAAGACATAGATCAAGAGGAGAGGTAGGTACTGAAGCTGTGCACATTAGGGGCATCTGTGTGACTCAGGAGCAAGGGCAGATGCTTGTGTGCACCATGGACCTGTCTGTGTCCTCGAGTGAATGCTAATGGAGCCTACCCTGGCCTCTTCACCAAGTGACTCGTGCTGTGCACCATCCCCAGCTACCTTGAGTGTTGGCTCCCAGCTCCAGGCAGCTGTCTGTTCCAGGGCATTGGTCACTGCTGAAGGAAGCTACTGTGCTAGGTCTGTGCCCCAGCACACTCCAGTGGCACTCGGCCAATGACAGCTGAAAGAATGCAAACCTAGCCCCCATGCCTAGATGTGAAGAGGACCCTGGTATGCTCAAGAGTACACTCCCATCAGGTACATCCTTGCCCCTCATCTGCCTGAGAGCAGCCTCAAAAGTCTGGTGTCACAGCCACATCACGGACTCTGCCTTTAGGAAGCCAGGCCTAGGACACTTCCAGGAATGGCTTGGCCCCTTCTGGGGCTAGGTGTGAACTCTGTGTTCTGTGTCTGCCTGTGAGCATCTGTGTGTGTGCTGGGCGTGTGCTAGGTGTAGTCTGTGAGCATCTCCAATGAGTCTATGCAGGCCACACGCACCCCTGCCTCCTCCAATCCAGGACCTCACTCACACCCACCACTCGCTGGCTCACCCTCTTCAGCACGTCCATCTGGCTTAGGTCCCTCCTGCGCAGGCGGACCCAGCGCCGCCGTCTGTGTGTATAGTACATTTTCTCAGCAGGGACCCAATGCCTCGGCTTCCGGTCTGGAGGGATCGTGATGCTGTACTCCCAGCCTAGGGAGGAGGAACCTGTCACACGTTGCCTAATAATTCCCCATCTCTCCTGGGCCCACCTCTCCATCTGGAGCATCCTCACAGACTCGAGCAGCCAGTGACTCTTGGCCATGATTTATAACTTGAAGTACGAATGTCTTCAGGAAGTCACCCAGTAAAGAGCAGCACCCCAAGCCAAAAGGGCTATGGCACTGAGCTGTCCCCACCAGCACACCTTGAGAGCTCACCAGAGGTGCAGCTCACCAGGCTGCCCACCTTGCTCATCCACAGCACGATTGAGGTCTGTGGACCACTCTTCATCTTCCCACTTCCAGCCCAGTGGGCACTCGATATCATCCTTAGGAAGTACTTTCTCCCCATTCTAGGGAAAAGACAGGACAGGCAAGCATGAGAAGTTTCAGACTTCAGCAGGGCCCAAAACAGAAGCACAGAGCCCTGGAAACCTGTATGACTTAGGATCATGGCCCCTCTAGAAACCAAAGCGTGCAGGCTCACCAGCTGAGAGCAAGAGACAAAAAGCCTGAGCCTTCTCAAGCCACAGGCACCTCCTGGGACCAAACATCCAGGACCCCAGGAAAAGCTGACCTCCCCCCACCCCCCGCCCCATCCCTTGAGCATCCCTAACCACATCGGTGTAGTTGTCACTCATGTAGATCCACTGGCCTCCGGGGAGCCGGGTCTGGTTCTCAAACACCTCCTCCACAAAGCTCAGATGACCAGCATCAGCGTCATGGAGCAGACTGTGGGGGAGACTTGGTCAGAGCTTCCCTGGAGGGACCCCTACCTGCCCACCACATCCGAGAGAGCACCTGGCCAGAGCCAACCTGTGCTTGTCAGCCTCATTACAGGACAATGGATAGGAGGGTGCAGAGGGACCAGGGGAGAGGGCAAAAGGAGAACAACATGGCTGGAGAAGAAAGATGTGACTCTGGGAAGGACTGCGGGAACAAAACACCCAGAGAACACTGAGCTGCTCAAACACAAGAAGAGTCCAAGGGAAAGACAAGGCCACACCAGGGGATGCAAAGTAGAAAGAAGGCTTCATAATAAAGGAGTTTCTGGTGTGAGAGCCCTTCCAGAAAGCAATGCTGTCTAGTGAGCACTTCCCCCCACAATCCCAGGATCATCCAAGTGGCAGCTCCAGTGATCAGCATAGAAGCAGGGTGAGACCACAACTCACGTCTTCTCCGGACACACGAACCAATCTCCAGCCCAGGCCCAACCAGCCGAGGGGCGGAAGCTGTCCTTGGGGAGCTTAATCTTGCCCGTGATGTCAGAAAACTTGGGGTAGGTGAGGCCCGTTGTGCCCCAGTTCCCAACCAGGGCCAGCTTGGTCTGGTTCTCATACTGGAAGGCAAGGAAGAAGGAGAAGTGAGGGGACCCTGGCAGTGCCAGGAAGCAGGGGGCAGGCAGGGCAGCTGGCAAGCACTCACAGTTTCAGCAAAGACAGAGAGCTTCCCCTCCGCAAACTGGTTGAACTCCTTTTCATCCACAGAAAGGCCGAACCAGAGCTTGACTCGTATCTGCACTGGCATTCGGGCCCCAGGCACTTCCTCCATTGGATACTAGGTATCAGAAAAAAAACAAAAGCGCAGGGCAGTTAGGATACCCCAACCAGGCGGGGTTTGGGAGGAGTCTTCCAGGCCTAGGCACACCAGCCCTCCTGGAGGGCGTCACAAAATTTCATCAAAGCGGGGTCAAAGGGGAGTGTAAGCAAGAAACCAGAAAGGGGCCTATCTAGATCAGGATCTTTCATCTTCCCCTCTCCAGACACAACCTCATCTCCATTCTCTTCAAGCATGGACCTTTCCGCTACAATAGAAAAGAAAAAATATGAGAAAAGGAAAAAAATGGAAACAAAGTCTTTGCAAACAGGGAAGGGTGGAGGGGGTGAAGGGAGGGCAAGGGAAGGGGAAAAAAATAAGAACCAAGATACTCATGTACAGGTACAAGATCCCAATGATGAATGTAACTGTATTTTATACCTAAAATGTACCAATAAACTTAATGGGAAAAAAAAAAAAGAAATAGCTTATAGCTGCACTGTCCAATATGATAGTCACGAGCTCCATGCAGCTGCCGAGCCCTTGAAGTGTGGCTAGTATGACTAAGAAACTGAATTTTTAGTTTTATTTAATTTTAATTAATTTACATTTAAATATCAATATGTGGCTACTATATCAAACAGCACCATTCTAGAATATATCTCTCAATAAGACACAAGGATACAGGCCTGGAAGGGAAAGAACTTAAAGCCATTTCATCTCATTTTCAGTTTTGTTTATTTAGGCTAGACATTAGTGTTTCATCTAATATCCCTATATTTTTAAGTGTTTATCAGCCTGTTAAGCACTATTCACTGGTCTTCCATTGCTTTTTATCCTGAAACTTTCAGAAGCTCTGCCAAAATGGAATAACCGCAACAACCCAACATAAAAAAACTATTCTCCACAATTACTTCACCATTTGACTGAAACCAAAGGTCAGATATAGCCTTGAGGAGTAGAAGTTTCTCACTCTTAGAATAACACACTGTCCCCTAGAGGAGGTAACACATTAAGTACCTAGGCCTCCTGTGTGTCAGCTTGTGGGGGCAGGGTGTACTCCCAGACAAGGAGCTGATCAAGACAGAAGAGAGCTTTGGTGGATTCAGAAAAGCAAAATGAGGCCCAAGCAGATGAGGGGCTTCGATCCCTGAGGGGAGTCTCAGGGCAGGAAGGAGGCTCAGGAATGGGTACCGGACACAGCCAGGCACTGACCATCTCGTATTTCTAAGCCCCTCTTCTGTTGGTTCATTCTCATTGAAGCCTGGAGGAGCCCCTGATCCCACGTGTCACCTCCTGGAAACCTCCCCACGACTCTTTGCCTCAGCTGTCCTCCCCCCAGGGGGTTAGCTGCCTTTTCCCCTCCAAACCACCAGCCCCAGGGAGATAGCAGGAATGCCTGGCCCCCCTTCTCCCAGGCAGCCCCAGCTCTCTCGCCTGCCCTCCCCCAGACGGGGCCAGCCTGCCGGACCCAAAATAGCAACAGCAAATAAAGAAATGTCTAGTTTGGGGCTCCTCTCCCTCTCTGCTGGTGCTCATTTTTTCCAACTTTGGTTTAAGTTAAGAAACACCAATGTTTTCTTGGTCTCTGCTCTCTGCCAACATTTTTGTAGAGCTTGCTCAGGAGCTACTGGCGGGGCTCATAAACTTAGTGGGGAAGACTTCGAGAAACAATTTCTATATCTTTTTTTTCCCTTGCTTGGTGTCAGGGAAATTTTTCAGTTTGCATTTCCCTGAGGCTGCAGGGCCACGAGGTCAGAGCTGGAGCTCAATCAATTCCAGTGAGTCTACCAGGCGCACCTCTGCACCCTACCACTCTTACCACATGGACTTTCTGGGGGCCACTTCTTCACTTCCTCCCATTTCTCCCCTCTAAGAAGAGGACTGGCTTAGGGGTGCAATTCAAGGTCAAGATTCAAGATTAGGATCATACAGGGAGCGCAACCAGGTGACACATGAGCAGGTGGGAGGGTCAGTGTTGTGTCCAACACACAAACATACACACACGCACACACACATACAGCCACCCACACACTGTGCCCCATCCTTCCTTCTTGGCAAAGCTGGCTTCTCCTCCCTCTGAAGTACCAATGCCCCTGCATGCAGGCATCTGCTCATCCCTGGACTTAAATTGGATTCTAGTCATGGCCCTTGTGCAGCAAGGGAGTTCCCTAAAAGGAAAAGAAGAGAGAGGAAAGAAACCGATATCCACTGGTCACTTAGTTTTCGCATGACTCATTCATTACCTGTGTTATCTAATTTAGTCCTCCAAATCTGTGAAGTGGGTAGCCTTATCCTTGTGTCACAGATGAGGAGAAAGCAGGCAGTTCAGAGACGTTAGGCAATCTGCCCAAGGCCACACAGTTCCAGCCAGCCCTGGCAACCTGCCCACACACGTGGCACAGCTGAAATCTCTCCTCTCTACCCATCTTGGGGACAAAAAGAATGACTGATCAATGTATGAATGGGTTAGTTGGCCAGCAGCCAATAGGCTAAGTTTCAAAAACATAGGCTAAGTTTGGTCAACAATGCTGTCCTGGAAGAAGTGAGTTGAGAGGCGAGATATGTGCAGGGGAAGGTTGGAGCAAAGGGCCTCTGTGGAGAGAGGCCAGGCTGGAACGAAGGCAGGTAACCAAGGCTGGAGAAGCCTCGAATGCAGAGGATTTGGGAGCTAACAGGAGTCGTAAAGAGCAGGCCTCTGTCCTAGCCACTCACCCCAAGCAGGGCAGCCTGAACTTGGGCCTGCAGAGAGTGGGATCCCCGCCTGCATTCTAAACACCAGGCCATAGCCCCAGACCAAAGAACCCTTGGGTCTATGTCCCTACATTAACACAGAGAGGACAGGTGGCCCCTCCCCAGGCACCCACTCACATCCCCATCACCCTTGATTGAGAGAAGAAGGAAGGGAGCAGGGATGGATGCTAAAAAAGGAGAAAAAGAAGTGGGTATAGGGCTGATGAGCCCCAGACAACAATTTTCCCAGCAGGGAGGAACTGGAGCCCATGTATGGCTCCCTCTGGAGTTGGGGATACACAGGGTATTGAGCAGGGTGTAGAGGCTGGGTCTGTGCAGGGACTGTTGGAGGCTGGGGAAGAGGGACTTGCCCTGAAGGACAAGCAGAGCCTTAGGGATATCCCCCTAACCCCAAGACAGCCAGGCCCACAGGCTCCTCCTCATTCATTTCCAGAACCCATGATTTCAGCTCCAACCTGCCAGCCTTCTAGGCTACAAGTGTGGGCTCTGGGGTCTTGGTAAGGGATAGAGGAAAAGGAAAGTAATTTTATCAAGACCCTCTCCCCTTCTAAGACCACAGCCCAAGGACTCTGATATAGGTCCAGAACAGAGGGGAACTGGAAGGAGGAAAAAGGCTCTGTGTTGGGAAAACCTGCTCATGCCTTGGGAGAGAAGCAAGCTCACTTTCAGAAAGATGGTCTGCAGCTTCCCACAGTTCTTGCCACAGTAGTTGGTGCCGCGCCGGGAGAAGAGAACTTCGTGAGCAGGTACCCGCTGGTAGGCCACTCGCTTGTCTCCTTGCAGCATCCAGATGACAATGTCCGGCAGACTGTTCTGGGGCTGGAGAGAGGGTGGCAATCAGAGTGATGATGGTGACATACCCAGGCCCACACATCACGCCAGCACAGTGAGCTGACCTCTGACCCAAAGACCGTAAAGGCTTCTCCTCCCCAGCTTCTTTCCAGACACGGCCCACCACTGGCCTTTGCTTTAGCCTCCCAGAGTTGGATGGGCATCTGTCTTCAGCAGCTCTGAGCCCCCAAGGACCGTGCATGAGGCTGCCCCCAGCTCACATGCATGAAACCGTCACTGAGCTGAGCGCACTCTGGCCTGGAGCATCAAGCTTCAGTTCTTAGGTCCTCTGTGCTGGACAGATGTTCCCAAGGGTGAACATCATCCTTAAGATTTCAGCCTCCTTCCTCAGCCCAGAGGGCAGCAACAACTCCACAGAAGACACAGCCCTTCCCAGAGGACATCTGTCCTCCTGCTGCTAATAGCAGGACCCTGAAGCCTGAAGACACTGGGCTCTAAAATTGGGGACAAGCTCAGAACAGAAGTGCCAGGTCCCTGGGGCCTCAAGGCCTCTAGCTGTGAGTAGCAACCAGCCCCACTTCATAGTCTGGAGAAAGCCTGGTTGGGGAAGGGGCCAGGTGCATCCCAGGGAAAGTGAGCAAAGTTGTCGTTGGGGTCCACCCAGCCTGCTGCTGAGAGCACTCGATCACACTGCACGTGCATTGCTCCACTTAACCCCTGAGCAGCCCAAGGGGCAGGGAGGGCTTCTCCATTTGACATATGAGACGGCTTAGAGAAGTTAGAAGACAAACCAGGTTTTTCTGATCTAGGTATGTGCTCTCAGTTAAAAAAGAGGTGCTCAAAGTATAGCCACAGCAGCAGGCAGCTCCTGGGATCTTAGAAATACAAATCTCCAGGCTCCACCCCAGACCTGGGGAGTCAGAAACTCTGGGGACTCTGATACACACAAGTCTGAGAAGAGCCCTCTCCAGTGCCTTATGCTCATAGCCCACGTTTGGCCAGGAGCCCCCCCCCACCCCCGCCAGTCAGATTACAGTCTTCACTAAGAGTTCAGAATTGTTCTGGGGCAAGATTATGAAGGCAGCCAGTGACCAGGCGGACAAGTGGTCCCTGCCACTGTGTTGGTCTGTGGCTGAGCCACACTGTATGCCCTGAGAAATGGGCCGTGGGGCTACAGCCCTGCCCAGGGAAACATCCAGGACACCTCAGCCTCCCTGAACAGCTGTCTTCCACCTCTCCTCAGTAGTCCCCTGCTCCAGAAAGCCCTCTCCCAGACACCCTGCTCTGCACACTCCTTTGAGGGACATCCCTCCTCACTACGCCCACCTCCTCCTGTGGTCCCACATGGCTCTGGGCAGGATGGGCAGCTCCTGCATCTGCCTAGGTCCTGTAAGCAAACGTTTCTACTCATCCTGAACCAATCCCTGCCCTGCCTGCTTACCAGGGAGCAGGTTGGGTGTGTCTAGCCTCACGGACCAAAAGCAGGGTGTGCATGTGGGAAAAGGGTTCCCCAAAGACAAGCCAGAGTCAGTTCTCACTGAGACACACCAAAGCTCAGTTACTGCAAATGCAGCCTCCCAGGCCTGGGGTTCAGGGGCATGCAGAGAGCAGGAAACATAGGGCTTGTGAAACTCAGACTGAAGCCCGGTGCAAACAGGCACTGGTTGGCAGGAAGGAGGAGCCAAGTCCCTGTGGAAGCGGGGCCCAGCACAGACCTAGAGCCAGGCACCCTGGGTTCTGCTCCCAACACTGTCTCCAACATCCTTTAGTGGACTGGGTGCATCTATTGTGCACCTACTGTGTACCAGGCTCTGTGGTGGGCTCCATAACACCAGCAGCCTGCTATATCCTCTTCCTTCCTTCTGCAAGTGGGGATATTGAAGCTCAAAGAGGTTTAGTCACCTGCCCTAGGTCACTAAGCAGTGGAGTCAGTGTGGGATCATGGTTCAGACAGGACTCATGTACCTCCCTGTTCCAGCATTCCAGGCAGCAGGAAAGCAAAGGAAGAAAGGTGCCCCATGGGGTCAACTACCTCTTCCGATAAGGCACGGAGACGCAGGAGCCAGTCCTCAGCCTGCTCCAGAGCGGCAGGGAGCTCACTGTGGCCAAGCTTCAGGGCCAGGGCAGCCTCAGTGATTTGGCTCAGGTGACGGGTACGCAGCCGGAACAGGTACTGGTCCAGGTGGGTGGCAGAGGGAGTCTCAAGAACATTACTCAGGGGCTGGCTGCAAAAGACAGAATGTTCCTGATGAGCACACACACCCATGTGCACGGGTCCCACCCTCAGCCTACCTGCTGGGTGCCTTCTCCAGCTCAATCTAGGTGTATGGTCTCTGCGTGACAGGCCCCATCCTTACCTCCTCCAGGAAGCCTCCCAACCACATCAGCACTCAAGCTTCCATTCTGAAGCCCAGAGCCCTTTATTCTGGGGTCACCTGTTGGGGACTCACCCTCAGCCTCTGGTCTGTTGAGTTCTTTAGCATGGGCATCCCCCTCCCCGCAGCTGACTGCAAATTCTCAGAGGGCCCAGAGAGTCTCTCTACTGTTCCCCACATTCTCCTAGAGCAGAGGCCCCAGCATTAAGTTGCCGACACTGAAACAAATCCATTCTGTGTTGTGTGCACACTTTCTCCAAGAAGGAAATTTATGGACCCCTGACGAGCCACTGCAGACACTGTGGGGAGGCCAGCAGCCAATAATACAGATGTGTCCACCCAGGGCGGCCCCAAACACCTCTCCCAGAAGCCTCTCCTTTAGGAAGCCTTTGGAGAGAAAACAAGGGTACATGCAGCCCTCAAAACATAGCTCTGAGCTCTAAGTGAGGAGTTAGGTTTAAACTCAGTCTTGTCAAGAGGCAAAGAGCTCTGACCCACCCCATCACACAGGGGCTCCCTAAAAGGTCTTCATAAGGCTGCTCTACAGCACTCCAAGTCTGGGGTGCCTGCGCACATACCTGGGATGGGTGGGGAAGTCTGTGCTCTTCCCTCACCAAACAAGACCCCTCCTAAGGTCCCAGATTGAGCATATGGGGGGCTGCCCTGCCCCCTCGACACCCCCGGCCGAGCTCTTGACTCCCAAACAGGACATTAGTCAAACCAGCTCCGCCAGGTCTGCTCCCACCGCTCGCACCCCACCTCCCCTCCCCGCAGCGTCTCGACTCCCGGCTCCCGGCTGATTTATTTTTCTGCCAATTTCCCGGAGCTATGCAGAACCAATTACCGCCGGAGCGCAGCGGCACCGCCGCCGCCAGATACACCACTCTGGCAGGCCCTCGGCGCACTACATTTTTCCTGTTATTTTTTTTAATTGAATTTTTAGGATGGGGGGAGCAGTACGCGAACTCCATCTCGGGGAAACTTAAGCCCCGGGGCCTGTCTCAGGTCACGTACTGCACACCCTGTAGTAATATAATATTTACTGCCCCGAGGGTGCAGCGGATCGGGCTGCCCCAGGCCAGGGCATGCTCGGTGGGGAAGGGGGGTCCTGGGCTAGAGTCCTGGACGGGGCCTGCCTGGGAGCCAGCCTGAGCCGGCCGGGGGCGGGGCGCGGGCGTGGAGAGGGCTGGGGAGCCAACCAGGGTGATTTATGCACCCAGCCTGGGTCGGAAGCTGGGCAGGATGGTGATAGAGACCACCAAAGGGAGAGTTTCAGGAGGCTATGAGCCCCTCCAAGACTCCCCAAGAAATAGTCAGGACCCATGAGTGCCACTAACAAGATGTCTTGGCCTTTTCTCACCCCAGAAAATCTCAAGGCAGGGGTTGCAGAAAGAGGAGGCTGGATGATGCAGCACCCCCACCTCCCTAAACAGGCAGACGGCTTGCGAACTCTGGCCCTGGCCAACTTGGAAATCGGGGTGGCCTGGCCACTAGCAAAGTTGCTGCCTGCCCCTGAAGGACCAAGTGGGTGACTACATAAGGACATACTCCAGGGGGGCAGAGTATCCAGCGGAAAGATGAACTGGCCTTTGTCATTCGTTTCACTCCTTGTATGCAACAGCTCTTCTGGGCCTAGGCTGAGCAGGGACTGGGACCAGAGACCAGACCTGGCAGTGCTCTCTCCCAGGAGCAGTGAGTCGGGAGTCCTTCCTGGATGAAGTGTCCCCCAGCCTCCTGGCAGGGTTGGCAGGAGCTGGTCAGGCCCAGCAGAGTGGAGGGTTTTGGGACTGATGCAACAGCATATGCACACGAGTGAAGACAGAGGCAAGGGAACACGTGTGGGGTGGGTAGTGCCCTGCAGCTGGCAGAGAGGTCCAGAAGGACTGGGGTCTGAGGCGGGTGATGGGGACAGAGGGCCTTCTCACCAGGATGAGAGCTGAGAATTTTCCTGCGTGCAGTGGCAGCTACTGCAGGGCTGATGCGAAGGCAGGCATGGCACTATTTCAGGCAGACCTTGGGCGTGCTGATGTAAGTGGAGCGGAGAAGATGAAAGGGAGGAAGGAGAGGGAAGAGGCAGCTGCGACAGGGCTGGGAAAAGAGGGAGTGAAACCAGAGTTGGCCTGGTCTCCAGCACGGGGATGAGGGTCCGTCCGGGAGAAGACATAATAGGGGAGGCAATGAAACTTGTCTGGGGCCTGTGTAGCCCCAGCCGCCTCAGGTCAGCCATGTGGAGATGCCCAGCATCCAGCTGGGTCATGGGTCTTTGAGGAACAGAATGGACACCGTTGGCCCTGAGGGAGAGGGCAGCTTACAGGAAAATGAGCTCAGAAAAGGCCTGAGCTGGAATGAGGGATGCTGACACTGGGGTTGTGAGCAGGGCTGGAGGAATGGGCGTGCAGCCATGGTCAGCTGTGCAAGCTGGCTTGGGGACCCGTGCCTGGCTGCCCTACTTGCCAGCTGTGAAGATGTTCACCTCCTGAGTTGGAGTTAGAGGGAGCTCTTGTGCTGAGGCCCCAGAGCTGTTCGGTGGACTCAGGTGACGTGGTCCTGATGCCTGGATTTCTTCCGGAAAAGCCATGTGTATGTTCAAAAGAGGATGAGGACTCAGCTCCCCTCTCAAGCTCCTGACCTGGGACCACTAGCCCTGGGTGGCCCAAGCTACCTTTCCCCATTGGGAGAGTGACTCAGGGGTCAGGCAGAATTGGAAGAAGTGTTTTTAGCTAAATCCTCCAGGAGCAGAGCACTGTGGAGGGCACTCGCCCATCTCAGATGTTCCACAACTGCAGACCTGCCAAGGTCCACCCCACATATGAGTCATGCGTGACACTTCAGGGAAAACCCATGCCCTGCCTGCCCACCACCCAAGGCTGTGCCAGTGAGGACAGCAAGGGTGGCCTGCAGCGGGCGGGGGGGGGGGGATGCCATGTGAGCTCATCCCACAGCTGCACCCCTCCCCTCTTCCGACTGAGCTGCTCTGCACCCGTCCAGCTCCACTCATCCTCCTACCTCCAGACCACAGAGCCAGCTTCCTCACAGACACCCTCCTACTTGGCTCCCCCAACCCGCTCTTCCTCCCGCTGACTTCGAGAATGGGCCCAGTGCCCACTCAGATCTGGGGGACATTCTGGACCTTCCTTTGACACCTGCATCCAATCCACAATCAAATTCTGTCCACCATAGAGCAGTACAGCAGGAATCTCTGCCACTTACTTGGTATGTAAATCTTGGCAGGTTAATCGACCTCTCTGCCTCAGTCTCCTCATCTGCAAAATGGGGATTATTCTACTTCCTATCTCCTAAGAGTCTTATGAATAGTTAACACAAGTAAAATTCTTATGGGAGGCTGAGGCGGGAGGATCACATGTTTGAGCCCAGCCTGAGCAACTTAATGAGAACTGGCTACAAAATTTTAAAAAGCCTGGGGTTATAACTCAGTGCAACAACCCTGGGTTCAGTCCTCAGTACTTTAAAAATATTCCTGGAACGGTGCTTGGCATGATAAGTGTCGTCAAAATGCCTGCTGGAGTGTCTATGCTGCCCTCTGTTCACCTCAGCTCCCAGCCTTCAAGGCGTCACTGTCACAGGTGCCTTGGTCACAGCTCACCTGCACAGCCGTATGTCCAGCCTGCCATTGTCTGGTCCCCCAACACCCACCCCTCACCACCAACACCAGTCCGCCCCTCACACGGCAGCCAGAGTGAGCACCGGAAGCCCAGGGCCACCTTGCCGCTCAGTGGCCCCCGGGCCTCAGCTCTTCTTGGGAAACCCCAAGGCCTGTCCCATGGGCATCAGCTCCTTCCTACCCATCCCTGGAGGCAGTGAGCATTTCAGGCTTCTAGATCTTTGCCTAGGTGGTCCCTTCTCCAAAGGGTGACACTCCTCCTCCCTCAGAGCTCATGTCCAGCATCCCTCCTCTAAGAAGCTTCCCTACATTCAACTTGTCGGCATTGGGAAGGTGCACCTGCTCTGAGCTCTGACAGCCCAGGTGTCCAAGTCGCCATCACATTTAACCTCCTGAATTCACTTTCACACCCAAGACCCCCTAGAGGCATAGCTGTACCCTGGTCAACACGCTTGGCACTGAACCTGCCCTGCTCCAGGAAGGTTTGGGGAATGGATGAATGCCTTGTCTGGAACTCTACCAAGGGAGGGGGCTTCCCATGGGCAGGTAACACTTTGATAAAGATGCACACGGGTGCTGCTCAGGTGGCCATGGTTACAGATTTCTCAGCACAAAGGCATCTCTCTGCAGGGCTCTAGAGCCAGGATGAGGGAGGTGATGAGATGTAGAGGGGGCATAGAAAGTAGAAGGGCAACTATTTGTTATTAAGTTCATTTAACAACTGAGAAACAGGTCCAGAGAAGGGAAGCTGCCTAAAGCCCAAAGCTGGCTAAAGGGGCTAGCACTGCAGCCTCCTGACATTTCTCTTTCTTTACAATAATTATAGCTACCATTTATTAAATCCTTCCTAAGGTCCCAGCACTTTGTTTATTAGATATTAAAAGGTGGTTATTCTTCATGCCAAGTTGAAGTTCAAAGTCTCTTTTGGAGTGGCGCCCCAAAACCACCCACCCATCTGTGGAAGAGATGCTGAGATGTGCTCCCTCTGCTCGGTATCTGTACCCCCATTCTCCATCACCCCAGAGCCCCCTTTTCCTGAAGCTGACAACCAGCTTTGTCAATAGAAGGCTAGACAAAAACTGTGGTCCCTGACATGGCCTTGGGGAAGGGAGGGGCGCCCCACCCCCAGCCAGCTTCTCCTGGAGATTCCATCAGGGAAATAAGAGGTCGGAGATCAGAGACACAATGCTCCCTATTCAGGTGAGCTGGGCCGCCAGGGGCCCACAGCTGCCGCTGCTGCAAAAAGATTTATGACCTGCTCTAAATGTCACCTTTTCAACTCCCCGTGCTGGCTCCACCACCTTTGGACTCAGCTTGGGCCGGACTACTGGCCAAGCGTGGCTGGGAGACGTGCCGCTACTCACTGCCACACACGAGCACACCCAGGGAAACGGCTGGCTGAGCCAGGAGCACCAGGCGCCTCGGGTGCCAGGTGGCCCCTACCTGCAGTCTGCAATGAGCTCATCCATCAGCTGAGCCACCAGGAGGTCCATGTCCTCGGTGGAGCACTTTGCCTTCAGGGCCAGGTGGACCTGCTCCAGGCCAGCTTCCTATGGGACAGGAGCAAGGTCAGGAATGTCACCACAGAGCAGGAGGTATGGACGGGACCCAACCCCCAGGCCTTGTCACCAGAGCCAAAAAGTTCCCTGAACCAAAAAGAAGTGAACAATTAAAGCAGAGATGGCAGCGCCCAGACCGACCAACCAGCACTGTCCCAGCTCAAGAAACTTCCAGGGCTCCCCATGCCCCAATTCCCCAGCCTGGAACTCCAGCCTCACATCTGGACATGAGAGTTCACAAGCTGTCACTAGGCTTTGACAGAACTTGAGTGCATCCTGCTCCTCACCTGCCACCTTCAAGCCAGGCCTGACTTTGCAAGTGAGTGACCCTATGATCCTGCTCTGGCTCCCACCTGGAACCTCTTCCTGTCCAGATTCTGCCACACAGCTAGGCTCAGATCAAGTCTGCCTTGCAGTCCAGCCACCTCCAGTTAAACAGAGCTTCTCCAAACTCCCATGGCCGGGCTCTCACTGGGCCACATCTGCCTCCTCCCCTGAGCTACTTTCCCAGACCTCCTTGTGGGCCTCAGCCCTGAGCTGGGGGGGCAGAGACCATTCTCACAACACCTGCCAGGCCCAGGAATGTTCCTCTGTCCCCCATGGACCCTTTGCCACCGAGCATTTGACATGTGCTCCACACTGGGACCACCAGTCTAGGGACAGATCCTAGGAACAAAACACAGTCCCTGCCCTCAGAGTCTCCAGTCTCGCTGTGAGACAATGATTGACCCAGAAGCCCACTGCACTGGACAGCATCAAGCCCAGATTCTCCCCCTCTGGGTGTTTGCTGGTCTTCTCCCTCCCTAGAGAGGCAGTCTCAAGGAATCTGTGGACCACTATGGCCGCCCACCTGGGCCTGGTCTCCTGTCAACACTCCAAGACCCTTCCTTCCCATTCTCTCCCATCTTTGCTTTGCACTGCACCCATCACCAGATCTGCCCAGTCCTCTCCTCTCCAACCCTTCCCTCTCCCTATTGCCCTTGCCTGCTTCAACAGCATTCCCCACCCCCGTGATACACCCTAGGCTGCACTCTGAGTGAGAGAGCCTCCACACACCCACCCACAGAAATGCCTGGAGCACTGTGGGGACCATCAGCTTCCCCTGGCCTTCTCCCCTCCCTTGGCCTCTATACCTCCACCTGCCCCTGATTCTTTTCCTCTCCCTGACCATGTGCCATTCAGCAGCTCCTCACCTCCAAACAGAACCCGCTACCTCCTCTCATACACTGATTTTCTCTCCAGCTTCCTGGTTCCCCAGCTACCAGAGTCACTTCTTTGAGCCCTTCCTCTTCCCATATCCAACAGGCCACCAAGACCTTGTAGCTGCAGTCCTCTCAAAAGCATCTCCCTCTCAGAGCCTCATCACCTTCCCTTGGCCCTGTCCTGGCATCCTAGAAGGCCCCTCACTGGACACGGTATCCCTGTCTGGTTCATGATGCCTCCCTATGCACCTTGGCCAATCTCCTTCCTGAGCCCCATGCCTCTTCCTTGTTACCCATGAGTGCGACCTGGAGCTAGGTTTGGGAAAGCCTACATGAGAGGCTCAGGAAGCCTATGCCTTCCTTTATTAAACTGATTTCCCGTCCACTTCTAGCTTCTGGCTTCTAGCTGGAAGGCTCTCTAGCATGAGCACTTGTGTGTGCTAAGAGTCAAAGGCCCCTGAGGAATGCATGAGTAAGCTGGCACGGGGCTCTGTCCTGCAGCTTGCAGCTGCATCTCTCTCAGGACTCTCTCAGGGTTGACTCCGCCTCAGATCAGGACTTCCCCAGCACTGTTCATACCCCCTTTCTCTTCCCAGGATGCAGGACAGGACACAGGACACCAGGCTGTGAAGGTTGCTGGGCATAGTCCTGTACTGGTGTGTACACTGAGGGTGGGCAGGTCTAAAGACACCTGTGGCATGGCAGGGGGCAGGAACAAGGTTTGGGGAGGTTTCTACTCACCAGCTGGTCAGCAATCCTGAGCAGATGATTCTGAGTCTCGATTCTGTGGCTGATGTCCTCCCAGTAGGAGGACAGGACCACCACAGGCTTCACATTGCCCCAGGGTAAGTAGTAGTAGTGGCAGCCTGGAAGGAGAAGGGTCTGAGTGCTGGGCCGGAGCCGAGGGCTGGTGGGACACGGTCCTGCAAAGCTCAGGCCCCTGGGCCCTCAGGGCTGGAAGTGGCACAGCTGAGAAAGAGGCACAACATGGAGGGTGGGAGGAGACAGGCACCTGCTGCCTTTCCCACCCAAGAACCACCTCGGACATGTGTGGCCTGATCTATATCCCCCAGGGTCCAAGCAAGGTGCCTGAGCTCCCTGAGTGGGGTGAACAGACAGCTGGGCTCTCATTGGAGCTCCTTAGCTCATCAAAACAGAGGGTTGCTAGAGTGACCCTGGGAAATCCAAGCCCACACTCCCCAAAGTCTCTAAGATAAGCTCAACAGACTCCATGTAATGACAGTGATAGGTCAGGATCAAGGGAGCAGGGCTGCTTTCTGGAGCCCAATCTGTGCGTACTGGCAGCAAGGCCCCACCTCAGGGAGTAAGGGGGAATAGACAAAGGGGTAAGAGGGGATCACCCTGAATAGGCAGGCCAGGGCCTCCAACAGCTTTCCAGGGAAGTAGCACTTAGGGTTCAGCCCCTGTTTTGAGGTCCAAGTCCCTACCAGGAAAACCAGCTCTAGCCTCACCGTCAAAGACTGCACGGCTGTACTGGGTGGTGGAGGCCAGAGGCAGGCAGGTTGTGTCGAACTTGTTACCATAGTTCCCAATGCTGACCTCAAACTGGATGGCATCATCCACGTCCTGCAGCATGGAGGCTGAGTAGAAAGCAGCAAAGAGGGAATACTTGCGCCTCCGGAGGTACTTCTGAGGGGAGGAGGAGGGAAGACACCAAGGTAGGTCACAGGTTTGCAAGGCTCTGCCCAAGACCAGCATCTAGCCACTCATGGCAAAAAGTCAAGCAAAGAAACAGCATCCAGATTTGGTTACTGACTGAACAAACCCATTCCAGGTCTAGGTGCGTTAGGCCTGGTTTCCCTAATAAGATCTGCACCTCCAAGGTCACAGTGACCTTTAAACCCACAGCAATGGCACCCACCACAGCAGTGGAGCAGAGGCCCCTTGGTGCCCCTCAGGGGGACCCAGGCCCCTTCTGCTATGCAGAGGAGCTGAAAGCTCTTGACCACCTCACCCCTGCTGGAGCTCCCGCGCCAGATCTCAACCTTGGCAGTACACCCGGGCAGCCACTGCCAGGTGCCTGGAAAGAGTGATCCCATTGCCCCTCTGGGCTCAGGGCACAAGGCTCAATCACATGTCCTGATTTGAACCAACCATCTTACCTCAGAAAGCAGAAAGAAGAGGAATTCAACAGTTGGATTTTAAGAGAATGTTAGTAGTAATGACAGCTAACACTGAGTGCTTACTGCACGCATGCCTTCATTCACTTCTCGCAACAATCTTACAAGGTAAGTGTAATTATTATGCCCACTTTACAGACAGGGAAATTGATACAGCTGATAAGCAGTAGAACTAGGATGCAAACCAAAGCCATCTGACTATGGTGTCTAAATACTGCCAGATATAAATAAGGTCCAGCTCTACCATTCATTATTCTCATATATCTGAGCCTCAGTTTCTTCATCTGTTCAGCCACCTCATGGGGTGCTGGGAAGATTCAGGAACATCAGGAGTGTCACTAGCAGTGTCTGCCACATGGTGTTTAGCTGACTAATAGTTATGTTCACATGATCAATAGAAAATAGCATCCCATTTTGCATCAAGTTCTAGACTTTCAAAATACTTTCATTTATCCTCCTCATGCTTCTGAACATTCTTGGGTAAGTGTCACATTACTCCTACTTTACAGTTGAGATCTGACACTCCGAGAGGGTAAGCTACGGGTGTCCTTTCTCCACCATGGCACCTACTTAGCCACCTTGTCCCCACCCCAGCAGATACCCATGTCCCTCCCAGAGCAGTTGCCCCTCACCTCCACGCGGAGAATATCATCTGCAGGGAGGTCCTCCACCTTCTGTTCACTGTGCTCCACCAGCTTGGTCTCCAGGGACAGCAGAACCCGGCCCCGGTAGGCCACACCTTCTCCCTGCAAGAGGAGTCCAGGTCACCGGAAGGGAGGGGAAAGAGGGAAGGGGCCCAATGCAGCCCTAAGGCAGCTCATCACCAGTCCTGAGGGCTGAGTGTGCAGGCAGAGAGAGGGTTCTCCAAGGTTGTGGTTGCCTGGCCTTGGGCCTGCTCAGGCCTCATCAAGCCTCTGGACCTTCAGCCAGGCCTGGATGCTGCCCAAGCCATGCTGGAAGACCCCTAAGACAGGCTGGGGCACCTGGGGTATTGGGGATCTGGATCTGGCCCTTTCCAGGCTCCAGCAGCTCACCTTGCCCATGTTGAGCTCTGTGTAGGGGTCTGGGAAGCCCGTAAACTCCCGGGGGCTGCCGTAGAGGTTCACATAGCAGGGCCCGAAGGTGGGGAGGAAGCCCAGGTTGTCGTCGGCTGGGAGACACAAGTGGGGTTCAGAGAAGTTGACCCAGTGGGGCTTTCTAAAGCTCGACCCAGCCACCTTGAGACCTAAGCCCATCTCTGGCTCTCAGTTTCCCCCACATGCACCAGATGCAACCCCTGTAAATGCATGAACAATGACACTGGTGATAACTGCCATCCTCTGCCATGGTCCCTTTATCTCCACCACTGCACTGAGCCATGGCTGTTTCTGTTATTTCACTGGTCCCATTTTACAGATGAGGAAACAGGTTCAGAGATGCAAAGGAACACCTGGCCACAAGGTGGTAGGACCCAACCTGTGTGACCTCAAAGCCTGTGCTCTCAGCCCCATGCCCAAGAAGGCGCTTGGGGCTGTCCCCTGCCCATGCCCTCCGGCCTCCCCTCTCCGGCCCTCCAGCCCATGGCACAAAGGTCCCAGAGCCTGGTGATCAGAGACGCCATTTCCCAGAGGGGCAGGTAGGGGCCCAGCTAGGGCCCCCACGCACAGTGCAGCCCCCGGGAACACACCCTCACCCTCATGGCCGCGGCTCATCCTGGCCTTGCAACAGGGCGCACCCAGCACTCCTGACCATCTCCCACACACACACTGTGCAAAGAGCAATTTTTCAGTGGAACAGGTTGGAGGACAATTAGAGTGAGAATTAACAAGAAGGGAGAGCTTTTCTCCACATTATTCCTCCGTTCTAGAGGCTCCCTTTTATGAATGTCATTTTCCAGCTCGTAGCTGCATTTCCCTGGGTGAGGCTTTCCTGACAATACTCTGGAAACCCTGCAAAGCCAGGATGTCCCTTTCAGAGGAAGGGGGACGAGGACATTTCCAGAGCACCAAAGCTGGGAAGCAGGGCCCGGACCACCTGGGATGACTGACTCTGCACAAGTTGGGTCAAGGTGAGCACACAATAAATGGCCTCCGCAAAGAAGTGCTCAGGGCAGACCTGGGGTGCACATTTCATGCCCTTGCTGCCGCTGAGACCTTGGGGGTGCGGCAGAGCAGGAGCAGGCTGGAGCCATGCCTGCCCAGCAGCCAGGAGCACCCTGCAACCTTCCACGCTTTCCCTCTTCCAGACCCCAGCACAGACGGGGCTCTGGCTTTGGGAACAAAAGGGGAGGCTGGGGAAGGGAACTTACGTGAACATTACTAATCGTCTTGATTATAATTTACCTTGTGAATTTCCACTCCAAGAGTTCTCCACTCCTCCACCTTCTCCTGGTCCCCAAGACACCTTACGCTCACCCTGTGCTCCAACACCTCCATGACATCAACCCCAAACCACAGCAGGTACAGGAAGGGGTCTCGGAGGGTAGGAGGAAAGCACCCTGTGGCATTCCAAGCAATTTATATATGCCATCAATGGTGTAGAGGAGACCACCAAAGGTAAACTCGGGGGCTATGGGTGAAACAGTCCTACCTCATGCAAATCAGGAAAAGTCCCTGCCTCCAGCACCCACTCCCTCCAGGAAGCCCCAGGACCCCCGTCCCCTCATGGTCCCCTAGGCGATAGCAACGTACGGTCTGGGGCTTGTGAAGACTTGACTACACCCGCAGTCTCCTCTGAAGCAAAGAAATGGAATAGAGGTTAGGATGGGCATGGCTGAGAAGAGGAATGTTTACGTGAACAGGTGCGTGGATGGAGAGCTGGCAGACAGATGGACAGAAAGACACCTCCTGTGTGGGAAGCAGACATAGCCCAAGGCTGCACCCTGGAGTTCAGGTGTGAATTTATCACAAACTAGAGCTTTTCCACCCCAGGCCAGTCGGACACATCCCCCCATACCACAACCGGACCTGTAACTTGATGTATTCAAAAAATAACAGAAAAGAAAATGTGCTTTTTAAAGTGTAGCAAGTTAAGTAAGAGAAACAAAGTACAAAGAAAGGGTAAGGGAAACACCTGAGGAGCCAGAGTGAGGCAACAGCACACCCAGCACTTTTAACCCAACAAGGAGGCTGACATTTGGGACTCTCCTGCCTGAGCAGTGGCATTTCAAGGCCCAACATCTCCACCTAGGGGTCACTTCCAGTACTGCCACTGAAGATAACCTGTTGCATTTCCACAACAGCAGGCGCCCAGATCTGGCTTCTGGCACCTGCTGCTTCAGGTGAAGCCCAGTAACAGCTGCTGTCCATTTGATAAAGACTCTGCACACTTGAGTGTTTCCCTACACCTTGGTAAATAGTGTCTAGGAATAAACAAGGAAGGAAATGCTCTGGCAAACTTGGGCTCTTGGTATCCATCGCTCACTTCTGGGCAAGTATGATGTGCCCCAGGGGAGTGGGCACCCTCAGTCTTCTTCCCTTGCCTCTCTGACCTCTGCCTCTTCCTCCACTCTGACCTCCCCTTTCTCGTTCTCCAACCAGCAAGGGATAATTGAGTCTGCAGTCAAAACCAAGCCTGGGGGCATAGATAGTGAACTTCATGATTATTCTTATTCACGGTTCATCTCTACCTATTATTCTTCTAAAAAAAAAAAAACTTGCTATTTTCTCATAGCTCCGTGATTACAGTTAGGGTTGAGCAAACTTCTGTGAAGGAAGAATATGCAGAGATAGAGAAAGTGGAGAAGAGAAAAGAGCACAATGTGGGAGCTAAGATAAGAATAGGGGTGGATGCGGGAGGTCAGAGGTCCAGGGAGGGCGAGGTCCTGCACTAGTGCCTTGGATCTCTGCAGCCAACCCTTGGCTATGAAAGTCACTGGCAAACATCAGGGCTGTAGAAATCGTAGCTCATGGCCATTTTCTTATCCTCGGAAATTGGCTTTCACCTGTGGGAGAGCCAGGCCCCTGACCACAGGGGAGCTTTCTGCCTCAGCAAGATGACCTATGTGGGCACAGCTGCAGTCCCAAGGAGGCCAGTGGCAGGGGACCACCGGAAGGAAACAGATTCCACTTTAAGCTCCCTCCCAGTGATTACTAACAGGCCCAGCCAGTTATCCCAGGCTAATGAGGCCAAGGTCATAGTTCTAATCCTCATGTGGTTGTTGCAGAGGCAAACTAGGCTTCCCACCCACAGACTGACTTGGAGCCCCAGCTGCAAACTGGTGCCCAGCCAGATACAGATGTCCCCCTAGTCTCACCAGCCAGCTGACCAACACATGCCTCTGGTGGCTAGGAGAAATAAGCACTTCTTCAACTCTTTCACTCATTCATTTGTTCATTCAGCAAGCCTAAACAGACACAGTACTAGGCACTGGGACTATGTGATAATACTGACATCTTAGGGTGATAATTCTGAACTGGAGGGCTGGACACAGGTCACTGGGTGCTGTAGCTCATCCCAGGTCCTCTCCCCTGTGTCTGTAGGCAGCTCATAAACTCAAGGGCAGGGTGACCAGAGAAGCCACCCAAGACAAAGCTTCTATTTAGTATTCATCATCCTTCTGCCAAAACACAAATGTTTTGGTGTGTTTTCCCTGAGCCCAGCAAACTGGGACCATGGAAGCCCTAAAACACACATGAATACGGCTAGTTTTGTGGCCTGAGCAGCCAAGTCCAATTCCTTCACCTGGGGGAAGCTGAAAGAGACAGAGGAGGCCCTCCCAGCCCCATGAGCCACACGCCACAGCCCTGCAGACAGTCTCCAGGGACACGTGTGTCTCCTGGAGTAGCCAGGGCATTGCCTGAAGCCAATGCCACCAGCTCCCTCTGCCCCTTGGCACAGCCCCAAGCCCATGGCATTTGGCTACCTAACACCAACCTACACTAGGAAGGAGAGAAACCAAAAATTTCTGGGAAATCATCATCACATTCCAAAGTCAAAGACACTAATTTTTGGTTTCATAGCCATGGGGGGAAAATCTGTATGCTACAGCTGCTATTTATACAACATGATTTCCATCTGTGTGAGGTTATCAAAGATCCCATGGAGGTTTCACAGGTCGCCTGTGCCTGTTACCTTTTGAAAGAACTGCTGCTTCTAAGGAGAGCACTCCTTTTTAAAAAACAAAATCTTGCCTTAGTATGCTGGTGCACAGAATCCAAGGTATACTTCTGTGTGCCCAGGCAAACTTGTGGGCAGAAGTGCTTAAGAGGTTAGTGTTAGGTCTTGTCCTCACTGGAAACAGAAACAAGAACACAAAAACAAAAACTCCCAGCTGAACCAAATCATCTGAGGAACTGTGAGGTGAGAGAATGTAGAGAAAGAACCCATTTTTGCAGTCAGCTTGTGTTGGCTTTTGAGAACAGCGAGGTGCTAGAACCCCACAGTGGGGAGAAAAACATACAAAAGAGCTGAAAGGAAAGTGGGAGGGACACATTCTGAGGGGATAAGGAGGAGACGCTTAGCAGGGAGCAAGGCAAATGCTAACCTTCAGGGCTAGAGGGAAGCTCCAGCCTCAGAAAGGGACCCACCTCTGCAGAAAGGGACATCAGACAACCTGCACAGTCCAAAAGAATGACTCCATTTGAGTAATTAATTAAACTGCTTTATTGTCTCTTAAGTAAAGCTACTTAACTGTATATCCAAAAACCAGTTAGCTGGTTGCAAGGAGATTCTCATTTATTTCCAGAACAATCTGTGAGAGAAGGTGGTCCTGCTTTTGAATACCTACCCACCTCCATAAAGCACACCGGGTTGCCTATGACTTGGGCGCCACCTAGTGGCTACATGAAACAACTTTCTCACCTTTCCAATAAGATAGTGACAACGCAAGGAAGATGATCAAAATCACCACCAGAGGACGGAAGGGGATGGAGAGAATCTAAACTCTCCATCAGGTAGCTGATAGCAGGCCCAGGCAGGTGTATCCTCATGGAAAACAGTCAAAAATTTCTTGTTGGGCCACTACCAGTATCTGTCCCAGGTTCCAGAGACAGAGACAGTACCAGTCAAGAACTGCATAAGAGCTTCCTTCCATTCTGAGAACTGTGGCCTACGAGGTGGACAGAACACTCTCTGCACCATTCCCATGGTACACTGCCCCGTCTAAAGCCTACCTATACGTAAAAGACCATCCTTTGCATAAACTATCTGAGAAGCACTAAGAAAGGGACTGCATCCTGGGAGAAGCAGTTCCATGGTTAGGAGGGGAGGGGCAGGGGAATTCTGACAGCAGTGCTTCTGGAAGGTCATTTATGTGAATTCCACCGGTTCAAACTGCCTATGATAAAATCAGAAGAGCAGAGTGCATTTAGATGTTGAAGTTAAGTGAAGGTATCCAGGAGTTCATTATATAATTCTCTACTTGGTTGTGGGTTTGAATTTTTCTATAAATTAAAAGGGTTTTTTTGAAAAATATTTCAGAGAACCTAGAAGAAAAGATTGAAGAAGGCACCAATGTCAAGAACACTGGGCAGACTCTGTCAGGAGCTAAACACATTAACCTAAACTGTAGCTGAGGATCTGTGGTGGGACAGGCACCCCACACCCTGTCTGTAGAAAGACGGCCACACTGAACAGATCTTGCTAGAGAATGGATAAGGGGAGACAGGGGATGGCACAGTGCCACCAGGTCAGGGAAAGAGCGTCCCTAAGGTTCAGGAGAGTCCACATCTGAATTTTTTGGGAAAAGCTTTGGGATCCTAAATATCATGAAAGAAGATGTAGCCTTGTGGACAAAGAAAAACTTCTGGGCGAGAATGGACAGGAGCAGAGAAGAAAAGGCAAATATAAAAGGAGTGGTAGAAGGAAAAGAAGCTTGACAAGAAACAAAAAATGCAACAGGCATTTATAAATCACATGGGAAGCAAAACTGGTACAGAAAGAAAATCAAATTAGTGATACAGAAAGCCAAGAATAGTGATAATAAATAGTCAATATTATGTTGAAGTTTATTGTACACCAGACGTTCTGAGAACTTTATATTTATTGTCTCATTGGATCCTTCCAACAGAGGCTGCAATTTATAAGAACCCCATTTTATGGAAAGATAACTACAATGACTCCCTTGGTTTCAAAGAAAGAGCCAAGAGAATCAGAACCCAAGCAGGCCCAGAACTGGAGCTTTTACCACTACCCTACCCTGCCTTCAGCTGCCTGTGGCACAGCGTTAAACTTTTTAAACTATTCCTCAATTCAAATTTAAGAATTCACCATGTCTCTGACAAAATTCAGTGCAAAGGGTCCTACACCTACATGGACTGAAGTATAGTTCTTTGTTTCCAGTCAATGACAGACCATGTATACAACAGGTCTCATAAGACTGTATCACCTAGAGACATTGTAGTCATCTCAGTTTGTGTAAGTACACTCTATAATATTCAGACAACAAAATCATCTAAGCGTTTTTCAGAACTTGTTTCAGTCCTTAAACATCACGTAACTAATTTTTTTTAACTACAAGAAAAAGGATAAATGTCTACCACCAGCATCTTGTCAGAAAAAAAAGAACAAACTACCTACAGAGGAATTAAATCCTAATGCTCTCAGAAAATATACCAAAATAAATGAAATGGATTAAATATTTAAGCACAAAAAATAATAACTAAATATAATCATAAAGTTTGCTGAAAACCTTTTAAACATGTATATAAGGCAGAAACTATACTGTCATTATCTAATAAGAAATTTTAATAATAAACTCAAGAAATTAGAAAGTTTAACAAGGAAACAACAAAATAAGTCTAAAAGTATTAAAGAGTACAACAATGAAAAATTCAATAAAGTGGGGTTTTTTTGGTACTGGGGAATCGAACTCAGGACCTTGTACTTGCATGGCAGATGCTGGAACCACTGAGCTAAATACCCGGCCCTTCAATAAAGTTTTTAAAAACTAACAAGTCTAGCTGAGAAAAAAGAACAAGAGAATTCAAACAATAGAAATAAAAACCAGGGAAATACCACAGATAGGGAAAATTGTTTAAATTATAAAAGACTTCTCTACATAACGCTATGTAAATAAATTAAAAGACCTCAATGCAATGGATGTTCTAGAAAAATATGAATAATCGAAATTGACTACAGTAAAGGCAACATACTAAAAATAACAATGATCACTGGAGAAACTGAAAAGTTTTTGAAGGGCTATTACTTCACCCACTCAAAAAGGGCACATGGCCCATATGGTTTTATGGGTGAATTATTTCAAATCCTCAAAAGGCTATATTCTTATGTTATATAAACTATTCCAGATGTTACAGAAGACTTTAAATATTTCCAATTAATTTTCCAGAGCCAGCATAATCCAAATACCAAAACCAAAAAAATAATAAGCAGACATACCAATTGAAGATAATAGAAAATCAAGAAACAGGCCTAAGGACAGATTTAGGAATTTAGTAAGTGATAAAAATGGCATTTCAAAATATAAAGAAAAAAGTGTTCAAATTTCAATGCTAGTATCACCAAAGAACAATTTTGAAAAAAGTAATGTTAGATCCTTGTCTTATTCAATATGGGAAAGATTTACAGATTTAGTTACATAAAAATTTAATTTCTATAGGTCAAATCTATTAATTGGTAAAATAAGATTGACAACTATTCACCACAGATATAACAGTGGAAAAGTTAGTATCAATATATACATAGAACTCTAAAAAACAATGAGAAATAGACAAACATATTATCAAAAATATGGCCCAGGACATGAATTTATAATAGAATAAATATATAAATACATTATATAAATTTAAATATTTTAAATTTTACATTGATCCAGTTCACTGTCAATGAAACAGAAGTTAAGGCACAATAACATACCATTTTCTCCCACTGAACTAGTAAGTTTCTTTTCTAACATTATTTTACCCTGCTTTAATGAGGGTGCAGCAAAAAAACCTTATGATTGAGAAAATAAACTTGAAATAGAAACTAGAATAACTTGTGATTGGAGAATAAATTAGTCCAGGATTTTTGAAGAGCAACATTGATATAGACAGAAAGCCTTTAAAATGTTAAAAATACTTTGACATAGCAAGTCCACTTTTCACCATTAATCCAAAAAGGAACTCACAAATTGCATAAATATTGAGCTACAAAAACAGTCATTGCAAAGTTGTTCATAATACAGAAAACTGGAAAACTCCTAAAAGTTCTGTGTTAACTACTTCATTTGGATTTATGGCACATTCCCACACCGAAATTTTTTTTTGTTTTTTGTTTTTTTGGTTTTTTGGTTTTTTGGTTTTTTTGGTTTATTTTTTTTTGGTACCAGGGATCAAACTTGGGACCTTGCACTTGCAAGGCAGGTACTGAAACCACTGAGCTAAATCCCCGGACTCCACACTGAAATGTTTATTCACTTAAAAGGTGAAAGATTTACATGATTTGAAGAGGAAATTTTAATAATAAATAAGAGTGTGTATTTATTCACTTAAAATCATACTGTACAAAAAAAGACATTTTTGTTGTATCACCAAGTGACAAAAAGCATTTTTAAAACAATTTTTAGTATGTGTCCATATGTATGTGTATACATACATATACACACACACACAAAAAGGTCTCAGAATAGAAATAGTTCTTGTCTTGAGTAGTGGACTTACGGGTAAATTTTATATTCTTTCAGATTCTCTATTTAAAATTTTGCAGAACGGCAATGGATCACTTTTAATGGACGGATAAAAACAATTACAAAATATAAATTGATAGAGCAAATTGTCCAACATAAAATCTAGTGTTTGGCATGGCCAGGGACACCGATATTATCTTCAGGAATGAAGCAAGCTCCTTGTATCATTCATTAGATTGTCCCATCATCCAAATGTGGAGCATCCTAAATGTTTGAAATCACTCGGCAGAGCCTTGCTCCATGTAAAGTGGGTAACAAAGGCCTTAAAACCCTTCCCTTTTCTGCAAACCCTCAAAACTAGAGGTGTGTGATAGAGGTGAGACAGAAAACAAGATGAAGCCCTGGGGCAGAACACAGGGGGAACATACCTTCTATTTCTCCTCCAGGGGCAGAGATCTTTGACATACTCAGGTAGGTGGTGGACACGATGTCATTGTGAGTGAGGCGGTCCCTAGAACAAGGGGCAGAGAGGGCTTGAACACAGGCAAATCATGGCCACAGCCAAGCCAGGAAGGATGTAGCCTCAGTTACACATAATGGGGGGGGGGTCGGTTTTCACAATGGGCGTGTTATGTAGGCCTGGCAATCCCAGAGACAATGAGACTGTGCAGAAATCTCACTCAAGATTCCCCTGTAGGGAACTAGTCCATCTCTCCAGTCATCCACATCTCATCAACCGATGGACAATCGGCCACCAGCCTGTCTGAGCAAGCAGGTTGCAGGTTGCCAGGCAGGAGGCCAGAGGCGGGCAGGATGGGGAGCAGGAGGCTGCTCAGAGGGCCCCATTAGACCCAGAGAGAGCTGAGACTTCAGGAACTAATATAAATATCAATGTCAGGGGAGGTGGGGATAGGTGACCAGGAAAAAAATACCTCCAAGGCCACAGTCTTTTAAAAAATATTTTTATTTTTATTAGTACATGTTCCTAGTACATAATGATTACATTCATTGTGGGGAGTTGGAGCATTAATAACACATCTTAATCATTTTTATTTATCCTTCCCTTCTCCTCACTCCCCTTCCATTCCATCTCCTGGACCCCTTCCCATTTGCGAAAGTTCTATCTCTTTGTTTCCTATTTTCTATTTTTATTCTGCTCTTTAAGTTATTTATACCTTGAGATTCTCATATAAAACAATTGCTACTTAAGCTTGTGTATCTGATTTATTTCACTTAACCTGATAGTGTCAAGGTGTATCTGTTTTGCTACAAATTACTACAGTTTATCTTTATGGCAGAGTAGTACTCCACTGTGTATAAATGCCACATTTTGTTTACCTATTCATCTATTGATGGACATATAGGCTACTTCAAAAATTTAGCTATTATTAGCTGAGCCACTATAAACATGGGCATGCATGTATTAAATACATATCATATTTAATACAAATATGTATATTTAATACAAATATGTATTAAATACATATCATATTTCAATGATGTCTTAAATTCTTTGGGAAGATACCTGGAAAGGGGATAGCTGGGTGGAATGGAGTTTTGGTTTTAGTTTTCTGAGGAATCTCCATACTGATTTCCACAGAGGTTGTACTAGCTTACATTCCCACCAACAATGCAGAAAGGTTCCTTTTTTCCTACAGCCTTGTCAGCATTTATTACTTGATTTCTTAATGATAGCCATTCTTTCTGGAGTAAGATGGAAGTTCAATGTTGTTTAAATTTTCATTTCTCTGATGACCAGAGATGTTGAACATTTTTTCATGTACTTATTGGCCATCTGAACTTCTGAGAAGTATCTATTGACTTCAGTTGCCCATTTTTTGATTGGGTCTTGCATTTGAGGGGTCTAACTTTTTAGTTCTTTATATAGTCTAGACATTAGTCCTCTGTCCAATGAGTAGCTAGCAAAAATATTTCCCCATTCTGTAGGTTGTCTCTTCACTCAGTGACTTGTTTCCGTTGCTGTGCAGAAGCTTTTTAATTTGATATGATCCCATTTGTTGATTCTTGGTGTTGTTTCTTACACAACTGGGGTTCTGTTTAGAAAGACCTTGCCTATGCCTATGTCTTCAAGAGTTTTACCCTATTTTATCTTTCAGCACATTATGTATTTGTTTTAATATTTAGAGCTTTGATCCATTTTGATTTTATTTTAGTACAGGTGAGAGATGGGGGCTTGGTCCAACCTCCTGCTTGTGGACAGGCGGTTTTCCCAGCACCATTTGTTAAAGAGGCCATGTTCCCTCCAGTACAAGTTTCCCCACCCCAGCCCCCCTCACAGTTGTAAATTAGCTAATGCTAATGCATGGTTCCTATTGTATGTGACTTGAAAGTGAAAAGCACTTTTAACCTTTATCTTGCAAAAGCTTCACAAAACAGGCTTGAAAAGCAAATACTTTTATTATCATCTCTGTCGAACCTACAAAGAAACTGGGGCTCAGAGCTGGGTGGGTTCTGCCCCAAATTCACCCAGGGAGGGAGGAGCAGAGGCCAGACTGGTTCTGATTCCCTCTGGTGCTCAGGCTACACCACGTGCTGCTCTTGGGCTTCTGCCCTCCCTAACCAGCATAGGGAACTATCAGTAGAGCTCCAGGACTGATTAACCCATTAGCCATGTCCTGAGCAGACCCTCCCTCTGAACCCCACCCTGCCTCCCTTGATAATAATAACATAGCTAACCTTTACTCAGTACCTACTAAGTCATGCACCACACTAAAACATCCTGTGAGTTAGCTCACTTAATCCTCACATCGGCCCTACCAGGTAGGTATGACAATTAGCCACCATTTCAGATGAAGATGCCATGGTCAAGAAGGTTAAATTATCTGCAAAGATGGCAAAGCTGCAATGTGAGGCCAGATGTGCCTGACACAGAAACCAGAGCTTTGGTGGCAGCCACTTGCTGCTTCACTGACAGGCTAGACCTGAGGCTTTCAACCTGGTGCTTGTGATCCCCACAGAACATCTGGCTGTGTCTGGAGATGATTTGGTGTGAGGAGGTGCTACAGACTCTAGTGGATAGAAGCCAGGAATGCTACCAAACAGCCTATGATGCTCTGGACAGCCCCCACGACAAAGGACTAGCCAGTCCCAAATGTCAGTGGTGCTGAGGTTGAGAAACTGGCTGGGTGAGACCTATCACCTGCAGGCACTCAATGCCTCTTCTTAGTAGTCCCGAGTGGTGGCCTCTCTCCCTGTTCTGGGTACTTTGGCCCTGAGCAGCTTCAGGAGAGGTTGAGTTCCGGCTCCACTGTGAAAGACACACTTGAGCATGCTAACTTTTTTCTTTTAAATCCTAACTTCATAAAACACACCAGTCTCTCTCTGATAATCTCTTTTTCTCCTCTCTCTCTCTCTCTCTCTCCCCCTCTCCCTCCCTCCCCGCCCCCCTTTCCTAGGAAAGTGACTAAGCTTTGATTTCAAAGTTTCCCAGCAGGGTAGGGGCTGTGTGAGGAAGAGTGAGCCATCAGTGCAGATCCTCATCACTGTTCCTGGTGAGTGACATTAGTAAGAGCTGGGAAATGCAGACTTCCTTGGGATTATCACACCTATACCTGACTGTGAGGGGTGTTCTTAACCTGCTTTTACTCCCAGCCCTAGAAAAGGAAGAGGCCTTGGGCTTCTGACCTCTGGCCTTCTCTAAGTCAGAAGAGGAGAGAATCATGGAGGAAAGAGCTTGTTTTTATAAAGGTAGCAGGTGACTTTGGGGATTCTTGGTTTTTAATGAAAAGGGAATGTTTTAAAGAATTGAAAGGAAGATTAAGTTACAGAGAAAAAGCCATATGGACTAGATCATCTTTACAGGATTCAGGTAATAACAAAAGTATATCTGTGTTTTCTGGGAAGAAAGCACTTTTTGGGATAGGAACTTGTAGCAGAAGAATGCTTTCTGGCTAAGAATTGGGTTTTGGGGCTTGGGATTGCTTTTGGAAAATACAGCAAGTCTGAAAATAGACTCACAATAAAAATGCCACTTCAACCCAAACCAGAGACGCAACCACCAGATTCGGTAATGTGTTTGGATTGTACAGTATGCTGATGCCTTTGACACAGCTCAGCCGGACCCAAGCCAGGCACATCCGCAGCACATGGGACAACCGCAGCCACATGCGTCCACAGGCACACACACGCACAGGCAACATGGCCAGCTGCCCCGTCAACACGGCATACACACGTCGACAGCCGAAACGTGGAGATCACTCTGAGGATGTGAAGTACATCTCTCCTCCAAACCGCTTCCCTGCGGCACATACCCGTGGTCACAGCCCTTGAGCCCCCCCACCCACCCCAACCCTGGCTGCTCCTTTCCCTCTAATTCTCACAATCTGTTTTCTTTAGGCCTGGGGAACTGGCACACACTTTAATGGCTCTGTGGCCTGGGGGTTTTTCCTTGGTCTCTCATTACCCTCCTGGTTGGGGGTGCCATGGGCCTGGGACCAAAGACGAACATGCCAGGGAACCACACAGCCAAGACTTTTGGGGGCAGAGAAAGGACAACTCTCTCCTTTTGGAAAGCCTGGTGTCCTGCAGTTCACATGTGTGGGCTGATAACGTTCCCCTCAAATGTGAGAGAGACCACCTCCACATAGCAGGAGGCAGCATGGTCCAGCGGTTAAGGAGTCAGCCTTGGGAATCACATCAGGCCTCCACTACTTTCCAGCTGCTGCCTGGGGCAGGTCACACAGTCCTTCCCAATCTCCTTCTCCTCTGTGGGGCAGGACCATGCTATTCAGTGCAGGGTCAAATGAAATAGTTAATGTAAAGGGCTTGCTGGGCACAAGGCCTAGCACACAGTAGGTGCTCAACATATGTTACGATTTTCCCTAAAGATCCAAAGACTTGTCCTCACCTGCACCACACCTGCAGCATTGTCCCCTACTTGGGCAATGTGCCCACTTCCCCAGCTTGGGTACCACCATTCCATCCAATAGGGGTGTCAGGACCCCTGCTCCCAGAAGCTCTGCTCTTTCAGCTTCCATGCCTTCGCTTATGGGCTTCTCCTCACCAAAATGCCCTTTCCACACCTGGCCACTCCTTCCAGGATGCCATCTGCCCCACCTTCTCCAGGAAGCATCACTAACCCCTCGGGCCCTCAGAAATGGCTTCCTCCCAGCCCCACCTGGCTGTGCTCTCCTTATGTGCCAGCAGGCACCTGGCCAGCCAGCCCTGAGCAGGCTTCCCAGAACTACCCTACCCACTCCCTCTCCTGCCTCAAGGGAAGCATCCTCTCCCGCCATGCACCAACCAAGCTGAGCCAGACTGAAAAACTCTCCAACCCCTCAGGACAGTCTTCTCTACAGCCTTCTACTCTGACCCTCGGAACTCACCAGTCTATGACTCGGATCCTCATTTTCTCACACATGGAGGGAAACTGAGGAGGAAAAAAGAGAAGTGTTGAGAGCAACATCCCCACCTCCAAGCATAAGTCCATGATGCTGGGGAGGTGGGGAGCCTGGGCCTCCTGAGGCCGGAGCACAAGGCCTCCTGGGTGGGCTGGCAGGTATGGGGTAAGGCTCACCATGGCGGGCAGAGTGACTCTCTGGTTCCACTGAGGGTTGGCTGTCTTCTCCAGGATCTTGCTGCAGAGCTAAAAAAAAAAAAAAAAAAAAAAAAAAAGAGGACGGGGGATTGGCAGCATGGTGACTCTGAGTTTCCTCAAGAACTGTCATATTAGCTAGCAGCCATTCTCTGCCAGGCTGGCTGCCCTTAGGGCTGGACCTAAGACCCTGGATTCTTACAGAAATAGGCTCAGACACAGGGAGTCCTAGAAGATACAAAGCTCAATGGAAAGGCATACCTAGAGCTAGTGTGAGGGCACTGTCTGAATGCCACAGTCCTTCTAAACCCTAATTTAGGAACCCTAAATGTGAGGGCCCTAAATCCAGACTGGCTTTTCTAGAGGCAGTCCCATTGGCCCATCAGCTCAGACCACCTCCACTTTGGAAGATTGTGAGCCCTAGAAGATCAGAGATGGACCAGGAAAAGGGAGGCAGGGGTGAACCATGCACCTGCATCTGAGAGTTTAAAAAAATACAATGAAGATACAAACCCTAGAAGCCACAGTCTGTCTCAAACCAGCCCTACCCTAAAGACTGGGCTTGTCACAAACAAGAAACCTAGCAGAACTGGAAATAGACCCAAGCCAGTGGTTCATGTGCCAACTCTGCCCTTGGAGTCCATGGGGAGCACCCCAGGGCATCCTGTCCCCATATATGGGGACAGCAGGAAAAACTCAGTTTCAAATATACAGATCCTGATGGGCTTGTGTGTTCTGCACATAAAAATAACGAACAGCCTTTTCCAAAGCATTTCCTAAAGGCCCTGTATCGCACTAAACATAGCATTTTATGTGCATTGTCTCATTTAATAAGTATCTGAGTTAGATCAGAGACTTCAGGTCCCCAGGGGAGAGGCCTTTGTCTCCATGCACATCCACCCAATCCCAACCCCCACCCCTTCCTCCTTATAAGAAGAAACCAGGCAGAGGCTGCATGGAGCTGGGAGCAGGGGTGGGTGCCAGGGTTAAGGCGCTGTGTTAGCAAAGAGAATAATTAGTAAGAAAAGATAGAACAACAATCCAATGGAACAGATAGCTCACAGGAATGGAGACACGAAGGGTGGTAAGGCATATGAAAAGACACTCAACCTCACTCACAATAAAAGAACCACAAATAAAACTAACAAGATACCATTTCCCATCCATCAGATTTGTAAAAGCTCTACAGTCTAACAACTCACTATTGACAAGGCTATGGAAGACCACATTCTTGTATTTCACTGGTGGGAAAACTGAAATATTTTGATACCTCTAGGGGGCAACTGGCTATTACTTCTCAAATGCATATTCCTTTTGACCTAGCAATTTCAACTCTAGACATTTACCCTCAGAAATAAACTGCATGTGTACCAAATAACATGTATGAAGTTATTCATTGCACTATAATTTGAAATAGCAAAGATCAGGAATAGCCCCACTGTCCACTAATGGAGGACAAATTAAATAAATTATGGTATATCCACACAATGGAATACTATGCAATTGTAAAAAAGAATAAGGACAGCTCTCAAACAACCTTCAATTTAAATTAAGTGGAAAAAGCTAGGTGCAAGGAAGTGTGCATAATGTGCAGCCATTTCATTTAAAAGGTAAAAGATAAGAATCTATAGCCACATTTGCTTGCAAATGCACAATGAAATCAGAATGATATAAAAGAAACTAGCTGAAGTGGTTTCCTTTGCAAAGGAAGGAATGAGCAGGTAGACTGTTGGATGGGTCCAGAGCAAGGGGAGATAATGGATAATAGATAGATAAATAGACAGAATAAAGGTATGTAGTAGTTAGATGTATTGACTAATTCAAAAAAATGGGTAGAAATCTAAAATAAAAGTCAAAGAAGAGATTCTTTAACTACACACAGCTGAGAGATCAGGAGACACTGTGCCTCCTGCCTCCTGCATGCAGGTGCCCAGGAGTGGGGGCCTCCCCTACAACAAGCACATTAGCCTGGTGGTCCTGAGGCCAGAAAAAAGGCTGGCCCACCTTCCACAGCCTAGTCCAGCACTGCTGCCAGCCCTAGAAGGCCCTGACAATCTCTCCATATCTCGCTCTGCCCCTCCCCCTCAGCCAGGTAGCACCATGCATCCTCCTCCTCCTCCTCCTCCTCCTCTTCCTCCTCTTCCTTTTCCTCCTCCTTCTCTTCTTCCTCCTCCTCTTCCTCTTCTTCCTCTCTCTCTCTCTCTCTTCATTTCTTTCTTTACCCTCCTTCACTTCATTCACTTCCCAATGAAATGTAATTAGTAATCCCTTTCTGGGAGGCTATTTGGCCATCTCTGTCAGATACTTAAAAATAAATCAGAGCCTCTTAGGCTACTGTACCACTGCCCCAGAGCACCAAGGAGCAGAGTCCCCCAGCACAAAGGAGGTGAGCCACACAGGTGCCACCACCACTCCCCAATGGCTGTGCCGAGCCATTACCTGGATCCACACCACAGAGTTGCAGGGGTCATAAAGGACATTGTTCTGAGCTCAAGAAGATACAGCAGAAGTGAACAACAGAAAGAGGGCCTCTCTGAGGCTCCTTGATAAAAATTAAAGCCCACTGGAAAAGTGAAGAAAATCTCTGCAATAAAGGCATACCAGACCACCTTAGTTGGGGGAGCAGTGGTGTGGACCAGAGCGGTGCAGCTGCAAGCAGATCCCAGCCAGGGCTCCGCCCCAATCCCAGAGGCTGGGGCACACTGGCCCAAGCCAAGGGCCCACCTGGAAAAGAGCTTCACAGGGACACAAGTAACAGTCAGAGGTTTGCCCCGATACTGTCAGTAAGTGTGCAAGACCCTATCCAGATGCTTCCTCACACAACAGGAACTGGGGTGCACAGCCTTCCCAGACAATAGCTACATAGGGGCCCTAGCCAGTGGCACACCTAGATACGATCCCAACTGTGCATAGGCCCCAGCCAGAAGCCCGCCCAGACAAACAGATCAGCTCAGGGATCCAGAAGGCCACCTTTCTGAACCCAGGAATCAGTGCACTGGTGAGCAGCAGAGAAAAGGCTCCTCTGTAGCTTGTGGAGAACTGAAGACCACTAGGTGAGCAAAAACAAAGGCACAGCAGGTTGCATCTGTTGAAATGAGAAGACACCTAAACAAGTCTCAAAACCAGATCACCTAAGGTAACCCCAAAGGGAAAGGAGATGGAACAATCTGATACTCAACCACCTGGACTCCCTGAACGGGCAACAAAAGGGGAACTGGAAAAAATGAAATCAGAAATAATTTCTCAGATAACAGTAGAGATTGTGCCCATAGTGCAAGACATGATTAATAAATCCAGAGAGGAAACAGATTAAAAAAAAAATAGAGGAGCTGAGGAACATGATGGAATCTGAACATAGGAAACAAATGGAATCCATAAAACAGATACAAACAGATTTCCAGGAGATTAAAAACTCCACTGAAAA